CCCCCCCCCCCCCCCCCCCCCGACCAGTAGCAGACAGGGAGAGAACATTGGCCATGGTGGGCAAAGATGTTTTTGTGGGAGGCCTGACACGATTTGGGCAGGTAAAGAGGAAGACAGGGCATTTCAGGTGGAAATACCGGCTGGGACAGTGCAGCGGGCGGAAAACGGGGCCCTGGAGGTACCAGGCCCTCATCCTTGAGCCTGTAAATATTTCCTGGGAAAAAAAAAAGGCTTTTGCAGATGTTAAGTTGAGGACCTTGCGGTGAGGAGCTTATCCTGGATTACCTGGGAGGCCGTCATGAGTGTCCTGATAAGTGAGAGGCAGGGGAAGATGGGAGACAGCAGAGGAAAAGGTGATGGGGCCATGGAGGCAGAGAGATTGGAGTGACCTGGCCACAAGCCGAGGAACGAGGAACGAGAGGCAGCCGCCGAGCTGGAAGAGGCAAGGGACAGATTCTGCCCTAAGAGACCACAGCCCCGTCCACACCTTGATTTTGGTCCAGTGGTACTGATTTCGTGCTTCTGGCTTCCAGATGCTTCGAGAATAAATTTCTGTTGTTGTAAGCTGCCACGTTTGTGGTGATTTGTGACAGCAGCCGCAGGAAGTTGGTACCAACGGGAAGGGATGAAGCTTGTTTGGGTGAGGGTGTGTGTGGTTCAAGGTATTTGCCGGGGGCACGGCCAGATATTTAGAGAGGTATTTAGTGGGTAAAGGGGTTAGGGCCGGTGTCTCGTGTTAGTTGGAGGAATTCCTGCAAGCTTCTGCATGGATCTTTCCCTCCCGACTGGAGCGTAGGGTTCTGGAGGAGAACCACGGCACCCAACAGATTGTTGTTCGTTCTCTGCGGCACTTAATTCCATGCTCCCTGGGTACAGACAGCCGATACTTGTTGAACAGCATGATGGATGTTGGCAGCTGCCATACCTGGGCTTGCACCGGCTTTACTGATGAGCAGTCAAAGCTGGCCAAGTCTGCTGTTCAGATCCCATTGATGAGCCTGTCCTCTTGAGACCACGGTCTCGAATGACTTCCCTGTGCCCTGCCTCGCGGTGGTAGGATGTGGTGGGATGCACCCAGCCCACCCAGGACTGACGGGCTGCCGGGGCTCTGGAGGGAGGGGCTCTGGGCGGAACGCAGAACAGCTCAGGTTGGGGTCAGAGGACAGGCGATCACCTGCCGAGTGGAGTGGCCTTCTTGATAGCAGAGTCCAATTCTCCGCCGGCCCGGAGAGGATGTGATTAAAGATGCCTTTTGGGCCTTTATGACACTCTTATCGATCCGAGGTTGTTTATAGCCATAAAACAGCTGTAAATTAGAGGCATGAGATAAAAACAGCAGGATACTTAACTCCTGTCTTCCTGTGAGGTTGAAAGAGCTCTCTGTACCTCTTCCACGGCGGTAGGGAGCTGGGACACCAGTGGGCAAAGGGGAATCTCTTCTTGCCTGCAGACGAATGGCCCAGGTTAAGAGGCAGCTCTCTCCTCACAGCTGAAACCCAGCTGCTCGATCCTGCTCAGGAAGTGTCCTCGGTTAACACGAGCGTCAACTGGGACCACAGTCCAACCGTGCGCCGACCGCGGGGTTTTAGGATGGCCCGGGCCTTCCGAAGCCGGTTTTCTTCTTCCCCTTCCCTTCCTTATTTCTCATTTCCTTTTCTCTTCCTTCCTGTGTGCTCTTTCTCTTCTTCCTCTCTTTTCTTTTGTCCCTCTTTTGGCTGCTTCTTTTATCTGATTAAACGGTTCTGACCTATTGCTATTCGTAAAGCAGTTAGGAGTGTTCAGCGGGGTATCGCCAATCATTTCAGTGCAAGAGACCAAGACGTGTGACCGTTGGACCTTCTTTGCTTTCCCCTTGTAGAGATCCGAGAGGCCTTTCGGGTTCTGGACCGAGATGGGAACGGCTTCATCTCCAAGCAGGAGCTAGGAATGGCCATGCGCTCTTTGGGGTACATGCCGAGTGAGGTGGAACTGGCCATCATCATGCAGCGCCTGGACATGGACGGTGAGACCCCGACACGCGGCATGGCCCCCGAGATGAGCCCCAGCTTGTCAGTGAGACTCCCCCCCCCTCCCCGCCCCCAAGCTTATTCATTTGTTTTGAGACACAAAGAGAGTGTGAGCAGGGGAGGGGCAGAGAGAGGGGGAGAGAAGGAGAATCCCAAGCAGGCTCCAAACTGTCAGCGCAGAGCCCCACCCGGGGCTTGAACTCATGAATTGTGAGATCGTGACCGGAGGCGAAATCGAGAGTTGGACCCTTAACTGGCTGAGCCACCCGGGTGCCCCAGCGAGACCTTGGTGTTAAAGGGCCTTGCACTTGGGGTCAGAAGGCTTGGGCTCATGTCTCAGTTTACATTTGAGGGCTAGATTAGGGTTTTTCAAACAATATTCCATGGGGTCCCAGGGCCCTGCAGAGGTGGTTCTGGGGCCACTGGCAGGGCAGGGTGAAGAAGGAGGCTGGGCGAGTGGAACAGCCACCATAATTCTCTCCACCTCCCCTCCCTCTCTTTTAAATAGCGTTACTGAGCCAGAACTCACATGCCATAACACTCACCCATTGAAATTGTGTGAACCAGTGGCTTTTAGTGTATTCGCAGATTTCGGTAACCAACGCCATGATCAATTTTAGGACATTTTCACCACTCCGAAAAGAAGCTCTGCCTTTTAGCTGCTACCTCTCAATCCCTCTATCACCCAAGCCCTAGGCAACCACTAATCTACTGGTCTCTGCGGATGTGCCTCTCTGGACATGTCATATCAATGGAATCCTACAACGTACGGTCCTTTGTGACTGGCTGCTCTTACTTAGCATAATGTTCGTAAGGTTTATCCATATTGTAGCATGTATTATTATTATTATTTTTTTCTTTTTGACGGCCAAATCATGTGCCGTTGTCTGGGTATAACAGCTCTTTCCTATCTGCTTTACTTACCGGGTTTCTACATACAACCTCACGGGGACGGGGGCGGGTGGGGGAGTGAGGTTTCACTGTACTTTCAAAAAGTTCTAAAAAAACAACACCTGACATCTTTGAGGTTCTTTCCTCGTCTAAAACCCGGAGGCTACCCCAAACCTGTTGTGACCTTCCCGACATTCAGATTCTGCCTTGACTGAAGGTCCAGGAAAAAGCCTTCTTCTTATTTTTTTTTTTCAACACACTCCCCCCCCTCTGAAAAGCAGCTTGATCCCGGGCCTCAGGGGTCCAGCGTGGTGGGCATTGGGACTCTCAGGTAGAGCATGAAGCGTGTAAGTGAAAAAAAGGAAGCAGGGGATGATGGGGTCGGGAAGTCCTTTGAAGGAAAGGACCATGGGAGGGAGATGTTTGCTTGGCCTGCAGGCTGATTGGAAGAAACCGCTCGGTCCTGTTACTTTGCTGGAGTTGCCGGAAGGATGATTATAAGGGTGGCCATATGGCGAATGAACCCCAGCGCCAACCACGAAGCGCAGCTGTGACCATTTATTTTCTGGTTCAGGAAAGAGATGTTTCATCAGGGGTGTTCAGCGGTATGAGCAGTCCCAGCCTTGTCCTTAACGGCTCTGATTGATTGTGATTCACCATGTCTTTGCAGGCCTGATTTGACCTTGCTTTATATTTAGCTGCTTGCTTTAGATATTTCTGAAAAGCCGGAGCGAAGCACATATCGTATAGCAAAGTCTGTTTTCCGTTGACCCCCATCATCATTTCGGAGATACATTTCCAGAAAAAGTTTCCTTCTTAAAATAATAGAGATCTTAATTTATACCTCTGTTCGTGGAACGAAGATTTTGCGCTTTTGAGTCTCTGCCCACAACTCCCTATAACAAAACCTAAGTGGAATGGACTAGAAGCAAATGGAATTAGTTACAGTTAATAAAAAAAAAAAAAAAAAAAAAAAAAAAAAAAAAAAAAAAACGAGCCAGGGCTATTGGGGGTGAGTTACTCCGATGAAATCGTGGGGTCTGCCTCAAAGTTCTTTCTGGTTCTTTGTGTATTCAGTCATCAGATCTCTCAGCTCACAGGGAGTTTTTACATTGTTGCAAATCTTCCCTGATTCCTCGAGGTCTTGGAGTCCCGAGGGATCTTGTGCGCCCGTGGCAAATTTCCGTTCGGTTTAAGAGCTTTCAAGTGTCACCAACTTACTTACCACTCATCTTACTCAAAGGAATGCCAAAGGAAGAACTTCCCAGAAGTTAAAAGAACTTGACAGTTCTCTTGCAGAGAATTTCTGTTAGTTCCTTTAACAATAGCTGAGGCCATCAGCTGCTTTGCAGTCACTCCATCAGGTAAAGACACATTTTTTTTTTTTTTTTTTACTTTTTTTAAATATTTATTTGTTTTTGAGAGAGAGAGAGTGCAAGGGCAGAGAGAGAGAGGAGGACAGAGAATCTGAAGCAGGCTCTGTGCCGACAGCAGAGAGCCCGACTTGGGGCTCAAACTCATGAACCTTGAGATCATGACCTGAGCCACCCAGGCGCCCCACATTTCTTTACATTTGAAGCTCAGCTTCTTCGAGGTTCTGTTTTGTTGCCCACACAAGCTTTAATACAGAAGGTATGAAGACAGGGCAGCCGTGCACAGAGAAGGAACTTTCTACCCAGTTTATTAATTGCCTAAGCGTGAAAAGAACTAAGTGATAGATGCCCAGTCTGAGACTGAACCGTGTCTTTACGAGTTCTGCAAATGACGCTGGTAAGTGACATTTCTGGGGTACTGCATTCTGGATACGGATGGACTGTTTTTCAGTGTCTTTCTCTGAAACGGGCCTTTTGAGCTTCTGTTAAAACAAACAAACAAAAAAATAGGTCCTAATTATATCCTTCCTTTCTAGCTTCTGTAACTGGGAGTTCTCCACGGAGATTCAGCCTTACTGAATTAAGTTATTCTCTGGCACGAAACTTCTGGCGTGGCAGAAATTTTTATGGGGATAATGCCAAAAACACGGGGTGTCTGGGCTGGAGCCTAAGCTCCATGCTTAGCTTGTAAGATGATGGTGCCTCCGGGCCCACAGACCCTGGTGTCCCGGGGCAGCGGGAGAGGGGACAGTGCCTCCGTCCGTGCAAGCTGGCCGTGATTAGGAGCGGGTCTGGCCCACACACCGCTCTTCTCTTTCTGGGGTCCCTGCCCGTCTGCCCGACGGTGAGGTCATACCTTCGGCACAAGGCCCGGCTGGAGTAGCCTACGTGTGTCTGTGCAACCCAATTTGACACATGAGGCTTTCATTAGGTGGTTCCTCGGGAGTGGGGTGCCTTGCCGCCTAAGCGTGTAATAGCAAGCTCCCTGGATTAGGCAGCTCGGCGGGATTTCCTGGACACAGAGCCCGCAGCCAGACAGCTGCAGCCTGTGTGTGTGGAGCTGGTTTTCCAGAGGACACCGTGGAAGGCAGGCTGCAGGGTCTGGGATTGCTGTCTGGGCCTGTGGCCAATTTGCATTCAGTGCTGCCCCCGCGTGTGTGTGCGTGCACACGCGTGTGTGCGCCGTGAGGGCAGATGTGCTCAGAGTTAAATAAACAGAAAACCAGAATTTGCGCCTGCTGCCCGTTGCTTCCTCTTTGGCCCTTGACTGCAGAGGCTCTTTCTCGCCGCTTTGACTCCATTCCACACCCCCTGGTGCTCGCGGTTCTTCTTCCGTTTTATCAGCCTCTGCAGCCGAGGGGACTTTTGCCCGAACGCCAGCTGGGAACCAGAATCCGCCTCTCCTGGATGCTTTTGGCCAGGATCTCCCCTTCAGCCCAGAAACTGCAAGCCTGCAGAACTCGCAATGCAGCCCCTGGAGGCATTTAATTAAGCCCAGCGCCCTAAGGCCTGCCTCGCATGTGGGGGAAGCAGCTTCTCTCCATTGCCTCTTGCTACTGGTCATGTGCCGTCTTTGGAAGAATTGACAAATTAGTCACCCCAAAAAGTATCTGCACCCAAAAACAGTATCTGCAAAGCTTACCACTTTCATAGAAGCGGGTTGAGAAAGGCTGCTTGAAAAGGACTCGGGTTTTCTGCCACGACCCGTCTGTTCCTCGCACCTCTGCGTTTCCCACGGTGGCTCCAGGGGCCCGTCCGAGCCTGCAGCCTCCTTCACAGGGGAATAAGGCCCTGGTGTCTTCAAGTCCCAAGGGCTAGTTTTGACTGCTCTCCAGATTTTAATAGTTTCACCAGCCACACCCATGTGGCCATCTGGAATGAATCCCGCTAGCTTTGCACACAGTTTCCCAAAAGCAGTCAAACCAGAAGACATTTTCGGCCACTTGGGGCCTCTGCAAGGGCCCCACTCGCGGGTGCTGATGCCGACCTCTCCCCCTGCAAGCTTTCCTTGGGGGCTCCTGCCCTTACAGAACAGAAGGCCCTCTTTTGAAACCAAGGTAGACCTTGCCTTCTTTCTCCTCGATTTCCTTTCTGCCTCTCGAAGGTGCAGAATGTCAGGAAGTTCCAGCAAATGTGGGCTTTTGAAATGACTTCCTATCTCTTAACGGGTTCGTAGTTTGCTTTTAGGCCCACCTCTGTCTGGAGAGTGAATTTGACCCCGTTTAGCTCGACCTTGAAAAGATTTATCTGGCGGCCGCTGTGTGTGAACTTGCTTATTTCTGTGGTTGGCCAGGTTCACTTTGGTTCATTTTGAGACAAGTCACTGAACTGCAAAGAACAAAACCGTGGCCGGAGTCATGTGGCACCGTTAGCAATGGGCCTGTTGTGCCCACGCCTGCGCATGCACGTCTTCCCCACCTCGGCTGCCTGTTCCTTACAGGTACGTCCTTTGCCGATTAGTCACGATCATGACCTCTCTTGTGACCATTTGCGATCTCCTAGAAGGCGAAAGCGGAAGCCTAATTCGGAGGAGCGCTCACGTCTGCCTCACATTCATGCAAGTCTGGTACTGGTTTGGATGCTCTGGGACTGCCATGAGCTAGAACGCACGCTTGTTTCCTGTGTGTGAGGGAGGATGCTTGCCCACAGGCTGCACGAGTGAAGCAGAAGGCGTATAGTGGGGCGGAGGGACACTTGGGGCTTTGTAGCCCCAAGGTCCTGAACCTGACGCA